GTGTGCTCTTCAAAATTGAAAATGGGGGTTTTCTTTTGAGAGTAGATAAGAGAGGCCAGGGTTTTCAAAATCTCAACTGTATAAAAAAAAGAAAAAAAAAAAGGAATATTTATTTAGATATATATTTTCTCTATTCAATTTTACTTGTCACTATTTAATTTGGCACACCCATTAAAAAAATAATTATTGATATATATGTTTTATCAAACTAATCAAACTATATCTATTAATTGGTGTTTAGTACTACCTCTTAGGAAATAATTTGGAGAATAGTATTTAATGCTAAAAGTAAAACATGAAAAAAAAAATTGTCTTGTTTTTATATGTCAAAAGTGACAAATAAAAATGAAAATTTATTTTAGAAAAGACATAGATAACTAGTAAAAGTGAACGAAGGGAGTAGTACTAATAAATTACATCCAATATTAATAAATATATATACTAGATAATTTTTTCTTTATACTTAATATAATAAAATTATACTCCCTTCATTCATTTTTACTTGTTATATTTGGATTTGGTATACATATTAAGAATTTGTATACTGTAAAAATATTGTTTAAATTTTAAAGCATTTTTAAGAAAATAGCATTTCAGAAAAGTGTTATTGAAAAAGAAAGTGCTTTGATAGCAAATTGTTGTTGACTAATATTTTTTTAAAATATTTTGAGAGTTAAATTATGAAAAATAACAAGTATCAATGTACTTTTAATATTAAGATTACTTTATAGAGAGAAATTATTTTAAATAATTATTATTAAAAAATATTTTTATGAAATTAAAATGTACATATTTAAAATTTTAATCAATATTATACATGATAAATAAAAAAACAAATAAAATATTGATATAATATAAATATGATGATTTAAATATAATTAGAAATATTAAGTAAAATAAATTCAAAACCCCTGCCATAAATTAAATCATTACATATGAAAAAATCATCACAAAATCCAAATCACAAAAATTCACAACGAATTTCATCCTTAATTTATCACACAATATTTTCATAATAGTAAAAATCTGTCTTGTAATTCTGAAGGTATAACTAGAGGCTCATTTTCTTTCTTTGTGATAAGCTTCATTAGCATGATATTAATGCCTTCATCCTACAAAATATTTTTGTTACCAATTTTTTCTAATCCGACAAAATAATACGCAAAATAATATATAAGATTGGGTTATTGGTGGCTCCGATAAGGGCTTTAGGTTGAGATTTATGTATGACGTTATTGTTGAAAGTGAAAAAAAGTTGTGGGAGTTGATAAAGAGCAAAGGAGAAAGTGTAGAAGGATTTCTTCATTATTTTTTTTTCATTTTTTTCTTGTTCATCTTTTTCTGATACCTATGAGTTCAAATTTTTAATGTATACAGTTGTTTTTGTTTCTTAAATTAATGTATAATGCCTCTGTTTTAGCATTATGATACATTACAATTTCATCAGGCACAATGTATTGTTTAAATATTAGTTTTGATACATAACCTTTATTGAAACACAAATTAATATGTATCATGTTCATAGTTATGTATTTGGTACATAACCATTATAAATGTCGTTAGCTTTTACTATCAGATACATACACCAAACTTATTCAACTAGAAGGTTATGTATCTGTAGACATTATCAAATATTATTGTGGATACATCAACACTAATATTTTTGTAAGAATATCAATTTGTATCATAATAATAGTTACGTATATGACACAACATTGGTAAAACAATTGGTTGATTTTTTTTATTTTTTGTTGTTTATCAAATTTGTGTGTCTCATGTCTTTAATTATTTATCTGATACATAATTATTACCAATTGTATAATCTACCATGTATCAGTTGTTATGTATCTGCAATCTTTAATTTTTGTACAGACTTATTCAAATTAGAAGGTTATATATATGTACACATTACTCAATAAATACACTTGATACATAAACCATAATGTTCTATAGCTAAAACATTGTGTATCAAATTAATTGATATATATATATATATATATATATATATATATATCAAATTCAACAGTTTTCAAACTTTAATACATGTATCATATACATATCAACTCATCACTGTGTTATGTATCACACACACAAAAATGGAGTTAATATCTTAAAATGTCACTCAACTTTGAGAATTTATCTAGCAAAGTCATTAAACTTTATTTTGTATCAATAAAATCACTCAATTTAGGTCTTTGTATCACTAAAATTACTCTACTAAATTTATCATTAAAAAAATTGACATAGCAAAATAAATTATTTTATGCCATTTAAATATAAGCTCCATGAATAAATAATTTTTTTTTAAAAATATCATCATGATTTTTTTATGGACGAATTTAATTAGTGAAAATTACATAATGAAATTACTATATATTTAAAATTTGAAATGTATTATGATGAGAGTTTTCCTAAATAGAAAAATAAGAGAAAAGACCCATAAAAAAATTGTCATGACATATAAGAAAATGATATAGTCATTGGCGAGTAAAGGATCAAAATTGTCCTTTATGTTTGAGCAAAGGATCAAAGTAATCCTTGTGTTTTAACATGGAGCACAAATAGTCCTCCATGTTTCAACAATTGGTACACTTTTGATACTTTTGCAAACAGCCGTCAAAATCTTAACGGTGCTTTTCTTTTTACACGTGAGAAAGGTTTCCCGCCAAAACTCACTTTTTCTTGTCTCTTCGTTTTCCTTGTTAAACCAAACTTCTCTTCCCTTTTTGCTTCAAATCAAACCCTATAATCTCAATTTTGTTCTGAATTTCATTAAAAGGTTGATCCATTTTGTGAAGCAACTATGTTGTTAAGTCACAACAATGATAGAGAATCAACTCCTACTTATGGTGAGAATTTTTTTCATCTCTAGATCATTGTTATTGCTTTTGAAAATTATCTATTCTAGATTTGAAACAAAAACGTGGTAGGTTGATTATTATATCATTGCTCTAGTACAGTTGCTCTTCATAATTGGAGTTAAAGTAAGTGTTTGTTCTTCTGCATCACTTTCTAGTCACAATTTTTTCATGAGATGTTGTAAAAATAAAAGAAAAGCTTGATCAGACGTTCAACTGAAACTATATACCATTAAAAACTATGGGGAATGGTTCAATTCTTTCGATCTTTAACCTGATGTCTCGATAAAAAAGTTTTTTTTGTAGAATACACTTTAACCCTCTTATTGATCCTGAATCTAGAGATTAGGATATTGAATGGTTAGATTCAAAAAAGAAACTACAAAGTATTAAGTGGTAAGAAACTCATGATAGTCTTACTATTCACAAATAGTATTAGGATCAATGGTGAAACAAAAAAAAAAACACTACAGAAATCAACCAGAGTGGCAATGGCAATAGAATTTGGGTTGTAAGAAGTAATAAGATCCTCCTGCATCTGCAAACGAACTATCGAATCTCAATGCCAGTGAAGGCATGGAGCTAGCTACGTTGCTAAGGGTCGTTATAGCAACACAAGATGGTGCACCTAGAATGGAATCTGTAGTGTCATAGTTCACAAAGCTAGCGCACACCGATTTCACTGTGATCAGTGATGCATTCTTCAGTAGCTCTAGCTTTGTGAATTATTAAGGCGACCCCAAAAATCATCATTATATATCTATTGGAGAACCTTCAAGATTAAGAGAATGATTTTACTTGAACAAATTTATCGATTATAATTTTTTTAAAAGTAAAAATCAAATTCCCGAGATCTCTGATTTGATGTACTATTTTCTGTTTATATAATTACGAGCATTAAATTTCTTTATTTTGAATGCAACAGTATTATATTTGATTATTAAGTTGAAGCATTTTCCATTCGTTAGTTTGTTTTATACTTTTGTAAACTACAACACCTTATGTAATATATTCTTGTTTTTTTTTTATTTCAGACCCAGTACTCGAAGATTCATTTGTTAGTACAAAAATATATCATGGGGGTGTCATGAGACGTATTTCAGACAAACATTACATAAATGGCAGCATAGACTATATTGATTACATTAATGTGAACACGTTGAATCTTCAAGAGTTTAAAATGATGGCGGAGATTTGTGGATATGCATCTGATTCAATAACCTTTTGGTACAAGTGTGGGAAGTATGGTAGAAGATGGAGACTGATTTCTATCGATTTTGAAGCCTATGCAGTTAGCATAAGTCTTCGAAAAGAGGATGTGAATGAGATTTACTTCAAGCACTTGGACTCTTATTTTAAAATGAGGGATTATACCATATCAAGAAACCATTGAAGATAATGACAAGGAACAACTTACACATGAAAATTCATCTGGTGATGATTTTTGTAATTTAGAGGCTGATTTATCTGACGATGAGTTAGTCAATGGCCATGAGAAGACAAAACATAGTATTCTTGGTGAAATAGAGCCTCTTAGTGTTGAAGTAAATAAAAAGATGGCAGTTGTAGAGGGAGATTCTGATTGTTGTGATTCTAGTGACACAAGAAGTTTGCATAGTGATTCTGAAACTGAGAGCAACAATTATCCTCAATTTAATCCAAAAATTGATGGAGATAATCCCATATTAGCTCTAGAGTTGACTTTTGGAAGCAAAAGAGAGTTCAAGGATGTTGTAGCAATACATGAGATAAAAAAAAGGAAAGTATATCAAGTGGAACAAGAATGACAAAGAAAGAATCAGGACAAAATGTATACATAAAGAGTGCAAATAGAAAATTATGGCATCCAAAATGCAACGGGACAAATCTTTCCAGATAAAAACATACGATTCTACACATACTTGCAAAGAGTGGCACCATGAAAATAGAACAATCACATCATCCTTCACTGCGAGAAAATACCTTAATGAAATTGGATCAAATAGAAATGGTAGCTTGGATGATTTTAGAGATAGAATGAGTGTTGATCTAAGAGCTAAAGTGACTTTATCATAAGTTAAAAGAGCAAAGAGGAAGGCCATTTCGCTTCTCGATGGTGATAGTAAAGATCAATTCAAAATGATGTGGGACTATTGCAATGAAATGGATAGGACAAATCCAGGAAGTACTATTCGTATGAAGTTCACTGATAATGAGGTTCCTGGACAACCATACATATTTCAGAGAATATACATTTGTTTTGCTGCTTGCAAGTTCGGTTTCAAGGCTGGTTGTAGAAAAATAATAGGAGTGGATGGTTGTTGGTTGAAGGGTCCAATGTACGGAACTCAATTGTTATCTGCAGTTGGAATTGATGGTAACAATAATATATTTCCCATTTCCCACGCCATTGTTGAGAAAGAAAATAAAAAGACATGGACTTGGTTCTTGACTTATTTGGCTAGCGATTTGGATATACATGAGGATGAGGCTAGTTGGACCGTTATGTCCGACAAATTAAAAGGTCTCATTGAAGCTTTTAATGATATTTTACCATATGTTAGTCATAGATTTTGTGTGAGACACCTTCATAACAACTTTAAAAGGGCAGGTTTTGGTAGCTTCTCATTAAAAAAGGCACTCTGGGCTGCTACAAAGGCTACTATTGTGCAACAAGCTATTGTATGCATGAATCATATGTTTGAGTTAGATCCAAATGTTGTTGCTTGGTGTAATGAAAAAGAACCTAGTCAATGGACAATGGCTTATTTCTCCTCAAATGCTAAATCAGACATGTTGTTGAATAACGTGTGTGAAGTATACAATAGCATGATACTTGATGCTAGAGACAAATCAATTTTAACACTTTTGGAGAAATTGAGATATCTACTCATGGCTAGAGTGCTAGCTAACAGGGAGAAAGTAGAACAATGGAATCTAGGTGATGTTTGTCCCAAGATTAAAGATATATTGCTTACAAATCAAAAGGCAGACGGAGAATATATTCCTAAAAAGTCAATTCAATGGAACTGTGAAATTACAAGGGCTAGTATCATGGATAATTGGGCAGTGGACTTGGATAAGAGAACATGTAGTTGTAGAAAATGGAGTCTCACTGGAATCCCTTGCAAGCACGCAATTGCAGCTATTTGGGCATCGAGAAGACACTCTTGATTATGTCCATGATTCCTACAAGGTGGAAACGTATCGAAAAATATATGAGAATGCAATTTTTTCGATGAATGGCCCGCAAATGTGGCCAAAATCTAACAAACTTCCTCCGTTGCCTCCAAGGAGGCGTCAAACCATTTAGCCGGGTTGGGGGTTGGTGAAGTCGGTATTCGCGAAGGAAGAATGCTCTTCATCTCCCATCGCCGTAATTATCTCTGGAAGTCGCCCCTACAACCCCTTGACTCCTGCGGGCTACGTTCGAACGAAACGAGAGTAAGGCTTTCTCCACGAGAGAACAGACTGACTACTTGGAGAGGGGCGCCTAGTTAACGGAGTTCACGAGGAAGCGACGTTTGACAAGTACAAAGAGAGGAAGAAAGCAGAAGAAGATAAGAAAAGAAGTTGATGAAGTAGGAGCAAGTCGAACAACGATGAAAAGGAAATACTAATCTCTAATTGTAGTACTTGCCACAAGTATGGTCACAACAAAAGGACTTGCAAAACTAAAGATGTGCAGCCTGAAACTACTTCTTCTGTTCGTGATAAACTACCTGTACTATCTTTTAACATCATTTTTGAATTATTTCATCATTTAATTATCTTTAGCTAATATAAAGTATATATAAAAATTTATATATATTGTGCATTCAGGTTAGACGGAGATGTTCAGAAGTTCAACAAGAAAATATGAAACGGAGAGAAGTAGGACAAGGAGAAGAAATGAATTCTTCTTGGGAAAATTCACAACAAACCCAACAAAGTGGAGTTACATTATAAGAAAATACAACTTTTTTGGGTAAAAAAATGGATCATTATGTGCTTTTCATGTTTAAACTATATTTTGCTATTGTTTTTCAATTTCTTTTATTTTTTGGTGTAGTTTCTGCGCGAATATGGTGCTATTTGGTGCAATTTTTGTGTTGTTTTAGTGCGAATATGGTGCTGCTATTTTGGTGCAATTTTGGAGTCTGTTGTTGGAGCTTTTCTCGTGCAGTTTTGGAGTTGTTTTGATGTTGTTACAGTTGTTGTTTTTGGTGCAGTTCTAGTGCTTTCTGGTGGTGGTGTTGATGCAAGTTTAATGCTGATTTAGAGGCTATTGTGATGCTGCTGTTTTGGTGTAATTCAAATGTTGTTTTGATATTTTTCTGGTGTAATTTTGGATCTTTTCTGCTACTATGTTGGTGCAACCATAGTGTTGTATTAGTGTGAATTTCGTCCAGCTATTTTGGTTCATTGTCAATACTATTTAGGTGCAATTCTAATGTTATTTTGATGAACTTTTGGAGCTATTTTGACGCATTGTTGGTGCTCTGCTGCGATTTTGGTAAAGGTTTACTAAAATTTTAGTGTTGTTCGTTCTAGTACAAATCCGATGTAGTTTTCAGCATCAACACATATAATATCAAAAATTTCAAGCCAACTTCTCAACAAATTGAAGCCAAACATACATTACGTATCAAATCCATTACATCGCAAAAGTAAAAAGATACATTTTCCTATACTACGAGAAAAACATATGCTTCTTCGAGCTTACTAATTACATTGCAAACAAGAAAAGATAGAATATTGAATTTTTCCTAATCGTTTTCTCTTCAACTTTCAGGCTTTTCTAAATTCTCGCGTGCTTCTTCGAGCTTACTAATATTTAGAATGCATCCGTCATAATTGGAACAAGTAGAATGGACCAAAGCTAAATTATCACTGGGACAATTGATCGAGCACCTCGTGTGCAAGAAAGTTGCTTGCAGATAAACAAGACACCAATATGCATAGCACCTTCCTCGAGTTTAAACAATCTATCACAGAGGACATAGAAGAAGACTCGATGACCATAAAGACTGATTTTACTCTTACTCTTGTCGTAGACTGATACATTCTTCAAAAACAACAGATGCAACTGAATAAGTTTTACTTCTCCAAATAACAGTCTTTATTTTGATTTTATTTGTTTCACAGGGGAATCAAAGTTATGGAATTATGGATATCTGAAGGAAAAGAAAGGGAAGATTTAGTTGACAATGGTGGAAACTTTTCTCACGTGTAAAAGAAAGCACCGTTAGATTTTTGACGGTTATTTGCAAGAGTATAAAAAATGTACCAATTATTGAAACATGAAGAACTATTAGTGCTCCATGTTAAAACACAGGGATTACTTTGATCCTTTACTCAAACATAAAGGACAATTTTGATCCTTTACTTGTCATTGGCTTAATAACTGCAACTATAAAATTGTTGCGATCCTTCAATTATAAAACTTTTGACGTCTTAATTAAAAAAAATTGCAGAATGATAATATCAATAATAATAATTATTAGGGTAGCGTCCGTCGTGATACATTTTAAATTTTCAATACATAATAATATTATAATATTTATTTCACTTATTAAATTCATTCATAATTTTTTTTGATGAATTTTCTTTAATTTTATTTATATGTGGAGTTAACATTGACAAATTATTTTTCTATGTCAATATTTTTTAAATAATAAATATAGTTGAGTGATTTAATTGGTGCAAATGTCTAAGCTGAATGATTTTATTTATACAAAAAACAAAATTTAATGACTTTACTAGATAAATTCTCAAAGTTGAATGACCTTTTGAGATATTAGCTCCACAAAAATGTTATTTGGGAAAAATTACATGTATAATGTATCTTTTATATACAATATTTCTCAAATAAAATAAGATAATGTATTTATGCACTAACTTTTAGGCATGATACATAAAGTCGAATTTATACTAAATGTATGGAAAAAGGCATAAATTTCTCCTTGAACTTGTCTCGAAAAGTCAGTTACACACTAAAACTATCATGGTGACCTATTACACACATATACTATTCAAAAGTGAATTTTCTTACCCCCTAAAATTGACATGGCAAAAAAATAAATCAAAAATAAAAAAAATAGGCGTGTCAGTTTGAAATTAAAGTTAAAAAATAAATAAATTAGAATCCTCTTTTTCACCCCCACCCCCCACACCTCTTCTTCTTCAAACCCCGCCCCTTGTCCTCTTCTTCTTCATTCTTTATTTTCATCACACTTCTTTATTTTTTATCACAATCTTAAAGCACAAATTTTTTGATTCACAATTAGGTTAATTCTCATAGATTTGTTAGTGAATAATTATATTTTATCTAGAAAAAATTTGATTGATTGTTTCTATCTTTTTCCATTTTTTTTTTACTTTGTTAAAGAAATTTTGGTTGTTAATCAATTTTTGGGTTTGGCGGTAATAGCAACTTTATGGGTTTGGTGGTGATGGGTAGCGGGTGACAAACATTAAAAGAGGTAATTGAAGGTGGTGAAGAAGAAAACATTGATATTGATAATGGTGGTGGTGATATTTGGTGTTGGGTGACAAAGAAGAAGAAGAATTGAAGGTGATATAATGGTGGTGAAGAACAAAATCAATAGTGAAGGTGAGGCCGAATATGATTTTCTGATGAAATGAGAATTGAAAATGGATGGGATTAGTGATGAAGAAGATATAATTATTAGAGAATCAAACCAATTAATTAGGGCTTAGTTAGAGTAAAATATAGTTAACAAAAGAAAAGAAAACAAAAAATTATAATTTATGTCATGACGTTGATGTAGCGTTGATGTGGCAGCGAGTGTAATACGCCACATAATGTGAGAATGATGTTACGCGTCTCAGGGTGGTAATAAATTCACTTTTGAGTAGTTAAGGTGTGTAATAGGTCACCGTGATAGTTTAAGCGCATAACTGACTTTTCAGAACAAGTTTAGGAGAGAATCTATGCCTTTTCCCCCTAAATGTATTGATACATAGTAGCTACTACACAATAATGCATCGATCTCAAATCTAACTTCTTATGGGCAAATAATTACTTATTGAATGTAGAAATAAAGTACTCATCAATTTAAACAAAATACATAAATAGTAATGTATTGATAAAACTGTCCATCTTGGAAACACAATTCAAAAAAGGGTTACACAACATTATAAAAGATATGGATGATCCATCAAATCTATGTATCACTTCAACTTTTTAATTTTGTTTGTTGTATCAATGCATATCAGATACATTGAAAATCTAGGATCTTGTTTCTCTACCTCAATGATGTATCGAAACTTCAAATTTTTTCTCAACTCACCGATCTTTAATTCAGTTGCAATTGCTGATTTGAGATTCACAAAATCAATATTTTGATCAACAACAATTTCGTCACTTTTGTATCGTTCATACCTCACCTTACTTTTCTAGATTCCGAAAAGTCTGAACAAGATCGATAGGTTCATGTTGTATCAGTACAATTTGTCGACAATTTTGATTCAAAAATTAAGATTTTTTTTGGAAGAATGAGAAGAAGAATTTTGAATTTTGAATTATGCTAGTCTGTTACAACTTACAATTTTCCAAGGTTTGAATCCCATTGCCAATTTTTCCCGTTATTTTCTTCTACTATGTATCAGATTTCCAAGTTTTTCCTCATCTCATCGATCTCCAATTCAGCTGCAATGGAGGATTTGAAATTCACAAAAGAAATTGTTCGTCCGACATCTATTCCATCACTTTTGTATAATTCATAACTCACCTCGCTTTCCCAGATGCCTGAATATCTCAACAAAATAGATATATTCATCATGTATCAACTATTGTTTTCGACTTTTTTGAAACTGTTACGATTTGGAAGAGATTTGAGAGAAGAAATTTGAATTACTATGATTTGGGAGAGATTGACATCAATTTGATTTGGGTGATTTGAGTAACTGACATTTAATTTTCTTTTTAATCTCAACAGACAAGTTGTCTAATGCATCAATAGTTATGTATCCAGATGAATGAAATGTATCCGGATGACACAAATTTGAATGAATTTTTGTAAATTTGAAAAAGATAAGGATATAATGTAATTTGCTCCTTACACTATGTGATTTCTAATTTTTTTTACTAATTTTATACCTGAAACTTATTTTCTATCAATCCACAGGACATTGTATAAATGATACTATAAAATTAATACATACTAAATAATTTATTTGGTGACCCCAATTATCCTTTACACGTGTAGTTAAGTATATGGACCTTTTTCCTTTTACTCTAAGCTGTTTGGGCCTAATAAAGAATATCCAGGGCATTGCTAGCTGTATCATTATGGATTGGAGGTTAAATCTTGCATGGTGATTTGCCATAATTAATAATTAAACCATCGAAATTAAAAGGATTTACAGATAACTTGTCTATTCAACGTTTCAACTAATTAATAATGATGACACATGTACCTATAATATTGACTTTTATACTAAGGTCAGCTAAATTTAAACTTGCCATTAGGATGCTATTTTTCTCATCTTTGAGGTTAATTTGTTTGAGCTCTTAACAAAAATTTTTGACATAAAATATAATACTTCATTTTTAATTATATGTCTTAGTTTGATTGAATAAGAAGCTTTAAAAAGTAAATAATAATAATAATAATAATTAAGTGTTGTAGTTTTAAACTAGAGTTATGTGCAGTATATATTAAAATATTTTTAAATTCTAAATATGTTATGTTAAATGTTAAAATTTAACAATTGCTAAATTATGAAAGATGTATTTAAAAATAAAAAATAAAAATAAATAATAATATATATATATATATATTATAAGACAGATAAATTAAAACAGATTAGTAATATTCATTTATTCATGCCACAGAGGAGGATTCATGAAAAAAATTGGGATGGATTATCACAGCTGTCACCACTTCTTTATGATAGTAAGTTTGTATTTAGATATGTGATATAAAATTATGATTTTAAATTAGTGTTTAAATATGCAATATAAAGTCAAGATTTCAAATTAATATTTGGATATGTGATTTGGGATCATAATTTAAAATCATACCAAGTTCTAAATAAAAAACATGATTTGGGATTTCAAATAATGAACAAATGTAAAACTTGAATCATAAGTTTATATTTCATAAGAAAAGAGGCATCAGTTTTTATTTTACAAAAAAAGACTCATGTTCAGCATGAAGAGATTGTTTGTACCATGCGAAAGAATTATCCTAAAGAATAACTAGTTATTACTATTGTTAACATTTATTTATTAAAGGAACATGGAGATGTGTGATTTATCAATGTTGGAGCTTTAGGATATTCTAATATCTTGTTTATGAACTATAAATTGTTCTTTTGGTATGATTGTATAAGAATCGGAGAAATTTTCATCGTTTTCATAACTTGTGGGATTTTCATGTTTATGAGGAAAAAAATATAACTTAAAAAACTCAAATTACATGTCCAAATAAAACTTTAATTTCATTTCAATATGAAATTTTTTTGAAAGTGTCACATTAGACTGAGAGCCTGTTTGGCCAAACAATTTGGAGGCCGAAAGCATTCTTTCTAAAGAAAAAAAAACTTTTTAAAAATTAAGGTGTTTGCCCAATATGTAAAATATTTTCAAGCAAAAGCAGAAGCATTTAATATCTTTTTTGATTTATCTATACATTACATTGATTGAAAATTTTAATAAAATAAAAGTAAAAACTTAAATAAAACATTTCATAATAGATATTTATAATTTATCTTTAAAAAATAATCTTAACATTAAACATACTTATCCTTTTTTATAGTATTTGATATTCAAAAGCTTTAAAACTCCTTACAATGAATTAAGCAAACACAAACTATTTGTTTCTAAAAGTGCTTCTCTAAAAGGCTATTATAATAATAATTCTTCGAGAAAACAAATCAATTTTTGTAACTAAATGAATATGCTGCTTTCTTTATCCTAATTTATATGACGTCTTTTCATTTTCGAAGAGTCATTTTAACTATATACTTTGAAGCAAAATTAAATAGATTAACTTAAACGGGAAGAATGTAGTGCTTAATTTAAAATGATGGGCAATGAGAGCTAGAATAATAAATATGAGAACCTGATGAACCTAATTATGATAACAAATAAAACTATTTAGGTATAATCATAATGCAAACCTCATGATTTAGACTTTTTAAAAAGGTCTCTCACTTAATAAACTTGTCTGTTGCTCAGGATTATTATCATCGTAAAGATTTTTATTTTTGTTTCGCTGTAGAGTGGAAATAACTCCCAAATTGACTAGTTTTAAAATTAAATTGAATTAGATCAACTCAATATTTTAAAATTATATTTATCTTCTCATATTAAAATATATTTTAAAATATTGAATTATGAAAAAGAAAAAGTAGTGCATAAACTGAGAGAGAGTAAAGGGAATTACTTTGGAAGCAAAATGGCTTGAGAATTACGTTGAATGATCTTCCTTTCTTTCGAATCAATACCAACCATTGGGCCACCCATTTCTTGTTCATCATTCATGCTTTCTATCTGCATGAAACTATTTCTCACAAGGAATAGGAAAATCAATTTAATTAAATAAATATTTTTATCATATACATAGAATTTGTAAAACTCATATATACATTCTAAAATGTAAATACACAAGGAGAAACGAGCAAGAGAAGAGAGAGTCGGTATATCTTAGATACATGCAAATCACATTTGGATACAATATATCTGAAACAAATTACACCTAATTTGACTCGCGTGTATTTGAAATACATATATCTATTCCATCAGATTTATGAATCTTGAACAGTATAAATGTATGTAGGGAAACCGTTATTTCAACATGTAATTAGCAACAATAATACTGTCGATACAAACAGAGCCGTATGCAGCGTTTTGGCCACATATCATATGATTTAAGTGTTTTCGCCACGCATGTCGAAATCCATTAAAAATAAATACACATTTTAAAAAGATACAAAAGGTTAAAAGTTAAAGCTTTAAGACTAGATTCATACAACTTAAATCTTGAATTCTCATCGGGATACATTAATATGCCAACAACGTAGAGAAAAAAAAGACAGCCCCAACAAGAGGCTTTGGTTAAGTAAATTGCAATACAAGGCCTAGCCTAGCTAGTCGATAACTCTTTAGTACCAACATAAGATAACAACATACATGTAATTAGTATTTGGTAGTCACAACTCACACTGTTACTACATATTAATCCTAGAAATTGGATTTGCCACCTTTCTACTCTTTCTTTGCCAACCTTCAAATATATACCATACTTCTTTTAGAAAATCCCTTATATATTCCCTTCCCAAACCTCTCTTTTCCCAAGCAGCTACCAGATATCTTCTTTCACATCCTTTAATTTCCTCCTCTCCATTGTCAAAATGATGGGTAGGAATAATGCTGTTTTGTTGGGATTTATTATCTGCATTATCGTCGCTGGAGTTGGAGGTCAAGCACCTCCAACACCTCCTACTAACCAAGCACCACCTACACAGGCACCACCAACACAGGCACCCCCTACTAACCAAGCACCACCTACACAGGCACCACCAACACAGGCACCCCCTACCCAAGCACCACCTACACAGGCACCACCTACTAACCAAGCACCCCCAACACCTACTGCCCAAGCACCACCAACACCCACTAACCAGGCTCCTCCAACACCCACTACCCAAGCACCACCTACACCCACTACCCAAGCTCCCCCAACACCAACTACCCAAGCTCCACCTACACCCACAGCTTCTCCTCCTCCAGTTAACACCCAAACGCCACCGGCTCAGCCACCCCCCACAGTTTCATCCCCACCTCCTGTAGTAACTTCTCCACCACCAGCACCTCCTACTCCTACTGCTTCTCCTCCTCCACCAGTGAACTCTCCACCTCCTCCGGCAGCACCTTCACCTGCGCCACTTGCATCAACTCCTGCTCCAGCTCCTGCGAAGAAATTGACTTCTCCAGCACCATCTCCTTTAGGATTTAGTCCTCCCGCTGGAGCACCAGCCCTAGCCCCGAGTCTTGGAGCTTTATCTCCTGCCCCTTCAGCTACTGATCAGGTACATGCGCATTTTATTTTCCTTGTTAATCATTTAAAGTTAAGAGGTGATTCCACACTTTAAAATTAAAGATATAAATCACTAGTTAGTTAGCATCCCGTACGTTGGATTTACAGACTGATTGCATGCTTTAAATACATTTAGTTTTAGATATGATCTAGCTCTAATTAAATATGTTTCTAAATTAGACAACGTAGTATAGTGAGTAATTATCTGTAACAAAAAACTGATATGTTATACCTAGATAAAGATGTAGATGTAATCTATACAACTAATTACAGGACTCTTAATTTTTCATTTAAAATGCAATGCACCAAACATCCGGAAAAACAAAGACAAAAAAACCCGGTAATTATATGATTTTCTTTGTTTCCTAGTTCCTTTACTTTATTAAACCGGTAATCCTATTTAATTAGTAACCCTTCTTAAAAGCAATTATTTTTGTAGTCATTTCTTGATATTTGGAAGCATGTTTAATTTGCAGAGTGGAGTGGAGGGCCTGAAGATGTCAACAATTGTTGTGAAAAGCTTGGTCTTAGGATGGGGTCTACTCTGCTTTCTAATGTAGAGCTCTCTTTTCATCCTGCATCATTTGTTTTAGTTTGCCTCTATATGTATGAATTGCTATCTCTTTATTTAGCTTAGGATGATGATGATGATGGCCCATTTCCTTGCCTGTACTTGGATTATATATTCACTTTGATTTTTTTGGAGGATCTTGTTAAGGGGAGCTTAATTTTTGTATTTTGAGAGGATTGTATTTTAATTGAAGTTTCTATATATTGTTTTATATATTCGTTCTTCTCCCTTCCCCCACAATTTTGATGCGCTATCAAACTAGATTCTCAGACGCATTTAGTATAACGAAGTGGAAGTCATTTCCTTTGAATCTATTTAAGTTATACATACTTATAGTGTAAGTAACTTTTTATACTAATCTATGATATAACAGGTTCATTATGATTTTTACCAAATTACCAATATTATGAACACATTATACTACTATTGTAACTATACTTGCCCTATACCTCATAGGCTCATACAATATATCTGTTATTTTTCTATCCAACCAAACAATAAAAATCATCATGAAAATGATCTTTGAGGCAATATATTTTCCATTGTAAAACATTAATTCATGATCCAGAAAATAATTTTCTTTGTGGAGAATATTTTCCTATACAACAATCGCATGATGGACAATCACAATAAAATGAGCAGCAAACAAAAAATTCCTAGCCCGATTTAAAGGAAAACAGTGGTGTATTTTATAAAGCAATTGGAGAGAACATTAACCTTCAAATTGACTTTTGAGTTCAGCATTGTGAGACTTCTGCAAAGCCAGTTTCATTGTTAATTCATGCATCTGCAAGTGAAGAAACAGAATTTCTGTAACATCTCACATTTATCACCTTTAAAGCAACCATCATAATTTAACAAACCTGGAAAAAACAAGCTAGGCAATTTGGTAACCAATGAATAGACTAGCCTCTTCCATCTCTAAATTCAGTGTTTGAACTAAAAAGAATTTCTTTTTGTATCGGTAGTTTTGAACTAAAAGAATTTTATATTTTATACTTCACACATCTAGAAAATCATCTAATACCTTCCTTCATTAACCTGGTTTCGATCTCTTCAGTTTCCTCAAACAGCGTCCTACATTTAGCCATTAGCATCTTGCCTATTTTGCTTTGTGGGGTAAAATTGACTGCAACAGTGTTATCTTGAAACTCCTTCGCTTTCTTATCCTTCTCCTCAACAAAATTCTGGCATCAAACCAAGAAAAGATATAAGCAAGAATGCAATCAGAGCCAGCAAGTCCATGAAGGAACAATGAAAAGGTCAAACAAACTACATGCGAAAAGCATCCAAAAATTTAAGCACCAAACATGGTTAAATTTTGAAGGAGCAATGGAAAGGTCATATAAACTACACATGAAAATCATCAAAACATTTAAGCAGCAAGCATGCTTTATTCATTGGCAAAAGGACGCATCATCTGAGCTATTCAAAAGATAACCAAGAACATGTCACCAACAGAACCGTGCCCCAGCAAATTAAGAATTCCAGCCAACAATCAAAGTTTATTGGAACTATGATCTCCTCTCCTTACATTTCAGCTTGAAATTAAAATCAATGTCCAGATAACTTACCTTCAGTCTAATGAACTCTTCATGAACACAAAGGTTTATTCAGAAAATCATAGTGCTGTTCTCAGAAGAAAAAAAAAGTAGAAAGGAAATAAAGAATAAAAATCCAGAAAGGTTTTTTGTAAGTTGTAACTTCTAGATTTCTGGATAATTAATGGGACCAATTATGCATTCCCTGAAACTTTGGTCTTAGTATCATCTGTTCTCACATAACATGACGATCTATTAGGCCATCATCAAGCAAATTCAAGTTTAATTTAAATCTTATAGAAACTAGCAAAGGGGACATACGGCGTGTGTGCATGATATGCTTTTAGTAAATTCAACTAGGAATGACTAGAACTTCTAAAACTAGGACAGGGGAATAGAAAATAGGAGAGTAGATATAAGATGCTAATGTTGAGTGTGGGCATACCTGTCAAAGGAGAATTGAAATACAAGGAAAAGAAAAATAGTGCAGCTTCACCAATTGATTACAGTAAAAGAAATATGTCCCTTAATAAGTCGTAAAGACGCAAAGAAACAAGTGGCCACTGAGGACCACATCTTTTCGTAAAAATTTAAAACCCAAACTAGCTAGTAGGATCTACATTAGGGTTAGGCAGAATGATTCAAGCAGATAAGAGGTCCAGCCCACCATTTGCAGTTCCTAAGAGTATTCTATCTTATTGGCTGGTTTGACGTTAGATAAATGCTGCTCTTACCCTCCAGTTTCTTTCTCCTCCATTACTCTGGATGCGAAAAGTGAAACTTGCATCTAAAGTATCAACAAATAGAAACACAAATAAAGCCATTCCTATACATAATACCCCTTTCAAACTTACAATTTACAACCCTAATTATGTTAGTTTTCTATTTTTATGGAGGGTGGCCAGGTGGGAGAAGACTGACTTCTGATGGCTGACAGTTCTGCAATACACGTCAAACTACTTGAACATTCTTTCATATTTCTGCAACATTCAGCATTAATGCTTAACTTCCCCATAACTCATGGAGCAGCAGCAGCAGCCAATAGCATCATAATCGAAGTCTAGCCGAACTCCTAAAATGCTACTCCCGTACCAAGCAACACACAGTGTGATACAAAACAAGCTACATACAACACAGAGATTACAAACATAGGACCCCTTTTTAAAGGAGCAAAGTGGACAAAATCACCAAAACAATTGAACAACGCCAGGGAATAACAAACATTCTCTCTCTCCCCCTCCTTTTTTGGGCTTCATATTCCAGAGCATACAAACAACAGATTTATGAGTAAGAAAATATACTACTACTACCTTGTAGCATAGATGGCAGCTTGAGTTGAGCTCTAAGGTCCCGAACTGCAGACTAGAACATTCAGCAGTAGGAAAAGTAAGAAGAAAAATTTGACCAGCACATAGTAAGGAGAAAGCGATAAATTGCATGTATAAATGGCAGCTTGAGTTGAGCTTTAAGGTCCCGAACTGCAGACTAGAACATTCAGCAGTAGGAAAAGTAAGAAGAAAAATTTGACCAGCACATAGTAAGGAGAAAATGATAAATTGGATGTATACATTTTAAAACAAAGGCAACCAAAGATAAGGGGGAAAAACACCCAACATTCTATGCACTACAAAAAGGATTTAAAAAACAATACACTTAACATGTAGCAACATTCCATTGCCTTCTTACTCATCCTCTCCACACCTGAAGATGAGTAGTGATTTTCTTTTTATTTTGTTGACATAACCCCCAAAGTTTCCCATTTTCTCTCCTCTGTACCTTTAGGACTATAGCCACTGGATTACTTGGTAGAGCACCCTTTTGTCTAAAGTTGAGGGCTTGAGAAATTTGGCCCATTTGCACTTCAAGATTGCTGATGGAAGTCGTGAGAGAAGCCATTTGAGCATCCGTTTGGGTACTTTTGTCCATCATTTGCTTGAACAACTTTCAATCCGACTCATTGCATTACTTGGTTGGGAGAATGTTCCTCCTTGAGATTGGTGGTAAGGAGGAAGTGCATGTGGTTGCTGGTACATAGGGGGGCTTTGAGATGAAGAGTGTCTCATTTAATGTGTCTGGCGTCACCCCTTACAGCTTGAACTAAAGCCTAAGAATCTTACTTATGTCCTTGATGTCTGTTGCATCATCAATTATAAATAGCTCTCCATTAATCAGGAAATATCAGTTAGCTCTTTAGCTCGAAGTCAGATTGTTCAGCCTTGTACCCCTTTCAGAATTTCATCAGATTACCTTCTATAAGGCTTGAGATGATAATTTTCAAATTCTGAACCAAAAGTTATTGATTCCTCATCAAGCCTTTTTTTTAACCTTCTCCAAGTCCTCAGCATATTGGATTGTATTAAGCCTCTATAAAGTGTCTCGAAGGTGACCTTCTGTGGCAGCAATCCCTTTTCTATCATTTCCATAAAGAATTCACAGGCTGTTTTCCATTTTTGTTTCTCACAAAATCCATGAATCAACAATGTATATGAATCCAAATCAGGTCCTGCTCCAGAATCCTTCATATCGTCCCAAATATCTCTTGCCAGCCCCATTCGACCTAGTTTCAATAGCATCCCCAACAATATGTTGAATGTACTCACGCTAGGTGAGCATAGGGAACCCTCCTTCATTTTCCCATACAACCTCAACGCACCATCGGCATCCTTCCTCCCTTTGAACTCTTTAAAGAAACAATTGTAAGTTGTGGATGTGGGAGTCACCCCATTAGAAACCATTTGCTCGAGTAACAGCTCCGCATCTTCAATCCTACCACAAGTGCAGAGACACTTGATAACTGAGGTATATGTCACAATATTCAGGCATATCCCTTTGCGTTTCATAATCCTTAATTTCTCAAGTGATAACTCGGGCTTATGAGCCCGGCTATAGACATGTAGGAGTATGGAATAGCTGGTCACATCTGGTTCCACACCTCTTTCAGTCATTTCTTCAAACACCTTCTCTGCCTCCCTAATTACCGTGTCAAACCTACCATCCGGATGCAAACTCGCTCTCCTGCAAATTCCATTCAATAACACATTGTAACTTACCACATTCGGATCAATACCCTTATCCAACATCTCCCCAAGAAACCTCCTAGCCATCTCTATATTCTTCACTTTACACCAACCATAAATCAGAATAGTATAAACCTTACAGTTGAGCTCCAATCTCCATTTTTCTTTATTAAAAACTTCAGTAGCCACTTTAACATATCCATATTTACAAAGAGTATCAAGAAGATAACTAAAATACAATTTCCATACTTCATCTTCACCGTATTGATCAAGAAATACGTGCATTTCACTGAAAGTCCGAATAGCTTGGCGGGTAAAGCCAGCAGAGATAAGCCTACGGATCAACACATAGAAAGTAGTGAAATCAGTTTTTACAGATTTCTGGTCCATTTGAATAATAAGCTGCCATGCAACATCGAACTGGCGGACTTTGCATAAAATGTCGATGAGGAGATTGTAAGCAGTAGGGGTGGAGGTGTCGGAATTGGGTTGGGTTTGGGAATAGTGAAAGAAGGAAAGGGCAACTTTAGAAGAGTTTTTGAGTCGGATGAGAGTCTGATGGACAAGGAAAGGGGTGAAGGAAATGCCATGGAGCTGAAGAGAAGATTCCATGGCGTGAAATGGGTTGTGGTGTTGGATGAGTAACTGAGAAATTAAGTCGGCGTCGTTTGAGGGTTCAAATTGCGGAAGTTCCGGCGGCATTGGCTGGAGTTGTGAAGAGCAAAAGAAGCGGAGAAAATGGACGGGGGTTTTGGGGAAGAAGAGAGAACGGAAATCCAATCGGACAAGCATTTTGATCGAGCAGGAAGATAGATAGCATAAACCCTGAAATAGTACAATTACATAGTCAAATATGAGTAAGGGGGTTAAAACAAGTTTTGAAGGAAAAATGATGTAAATACACATTTTATTTTAATCTTTAAAAAAAGTTATTATTTAAAAGAATTTCAAAAATTCCTCTCCAATACATCACTCTTTTCACTGATACATCATAACCCCTCTCGGATACATCCCTCCCCTCTCTCAAATACATCTCTCACCTATGTATCCAGATGTCTATTGATGTATTCGAAAGTCCAGTGATGTATCCGGATGTCATATCCCCTCTCTGATACATCCATCTCCTTTTGGATACATCCCTCACCTATATATCTGAAAGTCCAATGATGTATCTGGAAGTCGTGATATATCAGATAATTCATAATTTTAAGGATTTTTTATAATTTGAAAAAGAGTAGTTAATAATGTAATTAACTCTTTACACTGTGAAATTTATGTAATTTATACTTTTAAAATTGATGAAGGTGACAATTTTGACTATGCTTTATAATTATTTGAATTGATATAAAATTATAATTCATCTTTTTTTCAACTCCAAATGTCCTGATTTTTTTTTTTTGACTTAAAAATTGTAACGCCCCAAAAATTTCTAAGTTAAGACTCGAATCATTCTTCATTTACTTGTAGGGTTATATCGGGTGATTCTTAAATTGCCCATATGTGTAAAGGTAAATTCTTTAGTGTGAGAATGATTCTGGATATCAATTAAGGTAACTAGAAACTCCTAGCACAAAGTTGCGTTGAAAGTTTCCTTATCGATTAAGTTTTGACATAAGATTTTACTTAGGTCAACTTAAAACAACCATATCTCTTAGAATATAAAGAGTTACGTGACCCATAACCTATCAAATTAAAGGTATTTGAATCATCTTTCGAACGTCACTAATTTCGCGTCAATCCAAGTTTTGAGTAAAAAGTTATGACCATTTTAGTAACCTGATACAGTGTTGTGACGAATTAGCTGACGAAAAAACATTAAAAAGGGTCATTTTTGTCTTTTTACCTCTAAGAAAACCCTAAACGAATTTCTTGACTAATTATAGACCCAAAACAATCAGATTTTGATCTCTTAATCCATCATTCTCTTCTCTCTCAAACCCCAAGGCAAAACACTAAGGAAAAAACAAAGTAAAAGACTTCATTCATGATTCTTCTTCAAGGTAAGTTTTCCTTCAAGAACTCCATTCTTTCCAACTCAAATCCTCCATACAATTATGAATCACTAATGAAAAGCATAAATCTTGGCCATAGAGATTTCAAGAAACTAATTCAAGAATCTCGAGAAAGGTTTTCTTGATTGTTTACCTTCAAGCGAGGGTTTCAATGCTTCTAATCAAGTTCTTCAAGGCATGTAAGGCTATCATAGTGTTGGACTAGTTCGTCCACACGCCCTACATCTACTTTCAAATCAATAAAAGAGTAATCTAGGATTCTATCCCCAGATTTGAGTACTCTTGAGATGAGTTGATTTTGAGTTCTTGAGTTCCTAATTCTTTTTGAAATTCTATTCCTAATTATTGAATTGATATATGTTATGCATTGAGATTCTTAAGTTGACTTGTTCATGTCTATATTTCGGCATGAACCCTATGAATTGAGTATTCTTGAGATTAGTAGTATCGTTGAGTTCCGAGTTCTTGAGTCTTGATTTCTGAGTACTGAGTTCCATATTGCTATTATGTCACGACCCGATTTCTCGAGTCATGATGGCACCTACTATACCCTACCAGTAGGTAAGCCAACCCGAAACCCAGAACATTAAGCAATGAGCAAAAGGGCAGAAACTAGCGAAAACAATAATCTAAACAAGGATAACAAAGCAGAAGCAACCCAAAATAAATATATACAGAAATCCCTCCCAGAACCTGGAAGTCACTAGTACAGAGCTATCTGATAAAGAGTACAAGTCCCAAAAGTGGACCACAACAGAGCGTGTCTCAAAGACAACAAGACTAGCTAAAACAAAAGAAGGAGACAGAACAAACCCCAAAACGCCAAGTGCTCGCCCTCGTCTCCGAATCACAACTGCAAAAGAAGGCTGGAACTAATCACAGCTGGTAACTGGTATTGGGACCTGCATCACGAAATAGATGCAGAGCGTAGCATGAGTACCAACACAACAGGTACTCAGTAGGCATCATAGGCCGACTGAGCAAAAAGGGTAAAAACAGTAAGAAAGGATAGAATCTAGACACAGAGAGGTCAAATGGATAAGAAAAAAAAGCACACGAGCATACCAGAAACAAATTAAGTACAACTAGACTAAACCTAACTGGACCCCCATAAGCCCAGAAGGTACACTCGTACACAAGCTTAAATAAAACCTGAACGAACCCCCATAACCTCGACAGGTACACAGAAAAGCTAAGTCTACTGAGAAAGAAGAAAATCGGGCTCTCAGCCCAAGTAACTAAGATAATCCATCAGACTCCACCCAGCCAGCAGTGCACTCATAGCCCAGCTAGAAAGAGTGACCCTAGGGGGCACCCAACCAAACAGTCCACTCCCAGCCCAGCTAGAAAGAGGGACCCGTGAGTGAGGTAGATATCGCGAGTCGTCCTACCATGCAGTCAGCTCCCAGCCCAGCTAGAAAGAGCGACCCGGGGACACCCAGCCAGCAGCACACTCCCAGCCCAGCTAGAAAGAGAGGCCCGGGGGCGATCGCCGATATCACCGAGTCTACCCAGCCAACGATACGTTCCCAGCCCAGCTAGAAAGAACGACCTCGGGGGTGAAGGTATTTCCAATAGGATCCAATCCCACAACAACCACCGTGGAACGCCGTCCACTCTAAGAAATCACAGAAAAGGCTCCAAGCCTATACTATCTCAATCCCACGCCTCTAGTGATGCACTAAACCTTCGAGAATGCGTCGGAACCGCAGAATAAGAGGGAGAAGATACAGAAGTGCAACAAGTAGCGATAACGCCTAATCTAAGGCTCAAATTATAAGACTCAAGTCTGCTATTCCAGTCTACAAGGAGCTAAGTCATCCGAACGACGTCGGCTGAAAGTCAAGGCTATCCAGCCCACACGGGTCATAAGTCTAAGGCAATGCTAGCCTAACCTAGACTAAGGCATACAATACAAAGCATACAAGCATACAATAACATTTAGCACATAGACATGCAACTCTACTAAACCGGATAACATGATACTATACCCGAAATGTGGCCAATCGACCCTAACATAAGGTATCTAATCAAAGTAAGGTAGCAAACTAGTATTCACCCCCCAATTCACTCCTATCGACATGTTTTTACACAATTAAGCTCAATCTAAAATAAAGGAAAGCCGTAGCCTACCTTAAGGCCAACCGCGCGCTCTCCAAATCACTTTACCGGAGTTTTTCCTTTCCGAACAGTCTCAAAACGCTGCCCCGCTATCAAAAATAGAGTCACAACGTTACTATGGTCATTTAGACACCAAAATCACAACAAACAGAGACGGGTCAATTTTGGAGTCAAAACGGGAATCGTGGGACCCGCATCGAACTGTCCGAATTTGACTCCGTCAAGAGACCCTAAACAACACTCCAAACTTGTGTTCCAAAATGGAACACAATCCGAGGCTCAAAACACAGCAAAAACCAACAAGCAAGAAAACCCACTTTAATCAACTAAAGAAACCCTACTGCAGCAGCCAAAACTCGAATTAAACGAAAATCAAAAGGTGCCCAGCACTCTTTAAACACTCTACAACGAAGTCACGACAATTCTCAACATGTGGGACTTCGAATCACTCAAACCGAGCTAAAATGAGTGAGATATGACCAAAACAAAAATTCCAAAAACAAGGACTCGAAAACAGTACAGCAGTCAGGTTTTTCGCGAAATTACCTCAAACGGGAACCCCAAACCACTATCCGAGCTCACCAACGCGTTGCCCTCGAAAAATCTCACAACTTAGCCTTTTGAATCGCCCAAATCGGTTGAGAGATGAGAGAGTTAAGAGAGTTAGAAGTTTTGGAATTGTTGCTGAAAATCTGCATTATATTGCAGATTTTCTGCAATTTTTCCAAAACTAAAAACCCCGACGGGGTACTCCGATCTCGTTCGGAACCCCGTGCACGCAAACGAGATATGCAATCATACCAAATTCGATATTCCAGACTCAACGGCGCAGTCGAAATTTCCATCAGAGGTCATTTCGATAAAAAGTGGGTCCCACTTCCAAAGGCCATTTTAAGTCAAAACCCACAAAAGGGCTCGGAAAGATATCGAAAACCTCGAGACACAAAAGAAGGGTCAATCTAGACCAAACTCAACATTCCGGAGCTAACCGCACTGACGGAATTCTCATCCGAGCGTGTTTACTCAAAATGTTGACCAAAGTCAAACTTAAGCCAAAATTCAAAGGCTAAAACGCCTAATCACACCGACTCACACTGAAAACCTCGGGAGTCATGTCGACCATGCTACTAGCCTAAAATGACTCTTCCGGAGCTGATGAAATCGTCAGAATTGGATTCCGATGTCATCTTCTTGAACTTTTGATCAAAAATGATCGTTCAAGGTTCAAAAGCTCCAAAACACAAAAACTCACACCAAGACCAAACGAACAACCAGGTGACCGAACTGTCAGTCCTAGCAAGTCGTAAATGACTTGGGGTCGCTATAGGAAAGCTCTAAACGACACACAGAAGGCAAGACACAAAAATGACCAAGAGGGTCATTACATATTAAGATCCCTGAGTTGAGTCGTTCATGTCCATAATTCCACATGAACCCTATGAATTGAGTCATAAATTTTGAGTTTTTTTTTTAGAAGCCAGCATGTGAGTTCTTAAATTGAGTTTTGAGAAAAGAGTTTTCTAAAACATGATTAGTATGACAATCGAGTATGCCATTAATGTATGAGCAGTATGGTATCTAGATACACCATTAATGTTCATGCAGTATGACTTTTCGAGTCATCAATTATAACACCTCGTTATTTGAAAGAACTATAAAGAGCTAGAATTA